TTAAATATATCAAATTTATCAGATTTATTAAATAAATCAAGAAAATTAAGAAAATTGAAAAAATCAAGGAATTTACATAAAATTATTGTGCCACATTTCTTAACTTAATAGTATTAATATTAAATTTTTTTTTTTTAATTAAAGATTAATAATTCTAATACTTATACTTGTCTTAAATATTATACAGATAAATATCAAATTGCACTTAAATCTCTAATTAGTAGTATAAATCTTACTAATATTATAGAAATTTAGAAAGTTAAATACATAGCAATTAATATAATATTAGTAATTATATGGCATTATTTTAAAATTATTCTTATATTTATATATGTTTACTTTAACTAGTAAAGATTTGATTTGTTATCATTTTTCAAATGATATTACAAATAAAGATGTGATTCAAAATCTGAAAATTTGGATCATCCATCAATCCATCCAGATTAAATGGATAATGGATTAATCTGGATGGATTTAGGATTATCTGTTTTAATTTGTTTAAGTATTCAGTGATCATACAAAGATGTATAATAGTTCATTCAAATCATTGCAATGAGATGATTCAAATGAGCTATTGTACACCTCTTTACAATTACTAGTTGCTGAGATATTTGGCAAAACACCAAAAATCAGCACTTTATATATTCACAAATTATAATACTATGCTATTTTATGTTTTACCAAATATCTCAGCATCCAGTGATCATATAGAGGTGCATAATAGCTCCTTTGAATTGTCTCAATGCAATGATTTGAATGAGCTATTGTACAACTCTACATGAGTAATATGACTACTATATTTTGTAAAATATTAAAAATCAAAATTTTCATTTTAAGATAATGCGCCATTTTACATTTTACCAAATATATCGGCATCTAATGATCATACAGAGTTGCACATTAGCTTATTCAAAGCGCTGTATTAAGATAATTTGAATGAGCTATTGTGCATCTCTATATAATCATTGGATGCTAAGATATTTGCTAAAACGTAAAATTTTGCAGTATTGTAAAATGAACAATACTGATTTTTGACGTTTTTGCCAAATATTTCAGCATTCAGTAGTCATACAGAGTTGTATAATAGCTCATTTAAATCGTCTCATTGCAACAATTCGAATGAACTATTATACATCTCTGTATAATTTAATATTGGATATTGAGATATCTAAAAATTTAAAGTTAATTTGGTTTATCTGGATTTAATCCTATGATAATCCAGACTGATCTAGGCAAATCACAGATTGTAAAATTTTATCTGGATCACACCTCTAATTACAAATATAAAAATTTACATTTAATTTAAAACTAGTAATATAAAAAATATAAAAAAGATATTGATTTACAAAAAATTAATATTTTAGATAATTCTGCTAATTTTATTATTATTAATATTAAAAGTGAAAGTTCAATTAATTTTTATATATGAAATTCATATTAATAAGAAAAATTAATTAAGCAATAATTTTGAAATTGAACATTTTTAAGAAATGTTAAATTATAAAAATATGAAAAATTGAATGTATAGCATTAGGATGAAAATTAGTATTTATAATATCTGAATTCAAGCAACTTAATACATATTGCAGCTATATTATTCAATAAATAGAATTATTTAACACTAATCCTATTAATAAACAAAATTAAAAATATGATAATTTATAACCTATTGCAAATTAATGCAAAAGAAAAGCCTGTTAAAGGTTAAAATTTTCTGAAAAAATATATTGAATAGTTTTATGAACAATAGATCTATTAATTATTCTAGTAATAAATATACATGTTACAATTGTCTTAAAAATGGATATAATTTATAAAGCTGCAGTGTATTATATAAAATTATCTTTTAAACCGTTTTGCGGACAAATTTGCTCACAATTTCTAAATTAGAATAAATGACACTATAAAAAATTCTTTAATTTTGGCCAGATCGTTACGTACTTTTGTAGTTAAATTGATCTACATTCTAGCTATAAATTGTATGAATTAGATATGCATAGGGATGTAAAATTACCGTAATTTATAAAATTTATTGTTACGTTACGGTAATTTTCTATAAGTTACGTTACATTATGTTATTGTAACATAAAATTTTTTTTTTTAATCAAAATCTGAAGAAATAATAAATCCCAATAAAAAAATAATATAAATATAAATACTGTAATTCTGAATGAACAAAAATGCGACAAGATTGCAGGAATATGTTAAAATTTGTATGATAAGATCATAAAAAAGTTGAATCTGAAACTGTAAAACATGATAATAAGCTATTTTTTATTTGTTAATGTTTGTTATAAATTATAAACTTGGCCAAGATTAAGGTAATACTGCTTAATTCTGGTAAACATATCAATACATATTAATGTAATGTTACATTCAGTTTATATAATTTACAGTGTAAGTTACGTAATGTAACGTAACATAATGTAACGATTAGCATCCCTAGATATGCAATTGATCATTAAAATCGAGTGAGAAATTAACTCGCAAAAATAGTATCAGAATTTTTATATAATAAAATCTAGACTTTTCTTATCATATTTTTTCTCTATTTGAATATTTATTATAGTTTTTATTTTCGTTATAAAAATTTTGCATTATAATAAACAAAATAAAGATAAAAAAAATTAATTTTTATGAGTATATCATCACGATGTTGGACTAACTGAAACCTTATGTTTATTGAATAGCAATATTTAATAAGTATTAAAATTTTATATTTATTAAGCAATAAATGCTTAATATATTAAATAAGTACTAAATTTTAATATTTATTAACCATTTAATTTTTTAAGCATTTTATTAGTATTTTAAGTAAATACTTAAATGCATTTTACCAACATACCTTATATTTAATAAGTGCTAATAATAAATATTAATAAATTACTTTGACTAACATCGTGATGATAATTAAAATGCATAATAAAATTTTCATTTAGGTTTTATATAAAGTCAAAATTCTACTTATAAACATCAAAAATTATATTAATAAAAGTTGTTTCTTATACTAAATTCTACATATTCTATTAAGCTTTTATATAGCTATAATTAATTACCAATGAAATCATCAAAGTTAAGTGCAAAGTTTTTTAAAATTTTGTAATTATCTTAAAATACAATTTTTGACCAATGGATAATTTTTGATTTTCTAATATATAATTTATAAATGATAATAATTGCTGCACAATATATAATTTAAACTATTTTGAAAAAAAATTTTATTAAAATTACTTTATTTTTTATAAAATTAAATGAAGGCTGAAATTTGGTAAAATTGCAGGCAAATTTGCCTGCAATTGCTTACAGTTTAAGGGATAATAGTTATTTATATTATCTGTACAAAAAAAATGTATAATTAACTTGTATTATTACTGCAAAAATTTTTTATTAATTAAATATATTGTTAATAATCATATTTTTATTAATCATATACAAATTTTTAATTATTGTAATAATTATTTGTAATATTTTAATGAAAATATATATGAATACATAATTTACTTGCTGCACCAAACAAGGATAGTATTTTAAAAAATCATTAGAAATATTGGATAAAATTATTTATTAATAATTCAATAGTTTACCATTTTTATAGTTTAAATTGAAAATATTATATTTCTTATTTCAGTATAAAATTTACAATCCTTTAAGTAATATCAATTTTCTTTTATAATTTTATAGTATTTTTTCAATCCTTTAATCAATTATAGAAATATCTGAAACTTTCAGAATTTTATTATTAATTACTGTTGCTAACCTTTGAAATTGATTTATTACAAATTATTTTTATTATTTAAATTAGATTTTAATTTGTAATTTTTAATAATTTTTTAAAAATACAGTATAATAAAAAGCATAAAATAAACTTAATCTTTTTCTTTTATTTAACTAGCTTTTCTTTTTTTTTATAATACTATTATAGCAAATTTAACATATTTTAATCAAAAATTTTTAAAATCATATATATCTACTAATAAAGTACTAGTCTCTTAAACCTTTTCTATTTTGAAAAAATATAATTATTAGCATTAATTTCATCATCTTAAAGAAAAGCTATAATATTATTTTGAATTGCAAGTAAAAATTCATTTAATTCAGAAATTATTACTAAGTAGTTTTTAGCTGGAAGAATAGTTATTTGATAATAAGTTTATAATTAATTTCCATTTCTAGTTTATCATTATCATCATTTTTAATTTTGAAATCATTATGTTTAGATTCACTTGAAAATTTCAAAAGAATTAGTATCAAGATCAATAACTTCTGTAGTTTTTGCTCTTTTTGTTTTTTCTATTTTTCATGTCAAATTGAACTATTGGACAATTGTTAATAAGCATTATTACATTTTGTATAAATTGAAAATTAAATACTTTTTGTTAAACCAAATCTATACTGGAAGTGCTTATTTTTATTCTTAATAAAGTTAAATTGTTTAGAATTAGAAGTGATAGAATTGGGTATACATTTTTAACAATTTTTTCTAGTTGATTTAACTGCTTTTTTGCATTTACATATATTTTTTTCTAAATTTATATTACAATATAAATATTTTTGACACCCAAATCATATTACTTTTTTTATATGAAATACGTGAAAAATAATTATATAAAATTTCAAAAATTTTATTGTTACTAATGTTAATCATCATGTGAAATCTGACTACTGATTACCTTATTAGTATCATGCAATATGAAAATCGACTGATCACACTAATTTAAAAATTCGCAATAATAAAATATATTAAATAAAATAGCATATATAGTATAGCGCAAATTATGAGTAATATAGTACAAGTCAATTAATTAATCTGATATACAGAAGTTTGACTAGAGTTTTTAGAGTAGGACAATGATTCAGTAGCAAAGTTTAACAAGTTTAATATTATGCATAACAGCAACATACTAAGCTATATCTTCTTCTTTATTTGTTTTTATCATACATTATATCTCTTTTATTTTGTATAATTTTACTATTATAATAAAAGTTAAATCACAATTTACAAGGTTGAAATTGACACCCATATATAAGATGAATAAATATAAAAATACTGTATGTATATTATAAGAAAATAAATATAATATAATAGATAAATATAAACATACATAGTTACTATGGCATAGGCATAATATTATGTAATTTAAACGAATTTAAAATCCCTAATCATTTTTTGTTGAAATTCCATACATTGCATTATCATATCATGTTGCTGTTTTTGGACATATAGCTGCTGTTGTTCTTGCAGCTGTCTCAATGATTGCTCCACTTGATTCTGATTCTGTTGCTGTTGTGCTTGCAACTGTCTCAATTGCTCCATTTGATTCTGTTGCTGTTGTTCTTGAAACCATCTCAATTGCTCCATTTGATTCTGTTCCCGTTGTTCTTGCAACTGTCTCAATTGCTCCATATGATTCTGTTGCTGTTGAATTGCTGGCTGTTGTACTGTTGGCTGTTGTACTGTTGGTTGAGGCATAAACATTACAGCTGGTTTGGGTTGAGGATGTTCCTAATATAATAATCAATAATTAAAATTAACTTAAATACTTGACGCGAAAAGTGAGGTTTTTACAATTACCCATTGGCTTATTCCAGTATTTGTATCATGATCTATAAAAAAATATTGTTAATCTTGTAATAAGTTTAGCTAGAATCATAGTAAATACATACAATAAACTCGGCCATTGTAGTCAACCTAGAGCGGAATGACAATGAAATTTAAACTTTATTGGTCAAACAAACGAACATAATTATATTTACTCACGTATGAATTCCATCCGGGGGGCAAAGGAGTACTCATTTCAATATTGCGGTTCACTGAAAATAAATAAAATATTATTCAAACGGGTAAGGAATTTTTATGTCTTTTTATGTCTTAAAATGGTTAGACAAGGAGTTTAGTTTGAAGTTTTACGAGGACGTATTGACAAGCACAAATGCAGGGGGTTGTTACAAATTTTTTGCATTAAAGTTTTCATACATTTCTATAAGATCACGTGACTAAAATGTCTAACCGTCACCGGTTAAGTAATTGGCGTTGTTCATACTTCATAATTATCTCAACGAGTAGGTTGGTGCTTATTCATCACCCTATAAGTGCTAATTATTTATTGAAAAACGCACAGATACGCCACTTAGTTTATGCTACATTGATAAACAAAGATGCAAAAGTATTGGACATGACTCTCCTGGTGGCATCATCTTGACCCGATGCCCCTTATTGTAAAACATATTATGCAGGTCAAGTTAGCACCGCGTGTGGGTCAAGAATGATGCGTTTGCGCCTTTGAACAAACACACGTATAAACAAGATAGAAATATTATGTGTTGCAAATATTACGTAAGTTGCCATGATAATTTTCAATTTTATTATTGTTAATAAACACAATACGTACAATCACATGACTTAATAAAAAAAATTCGCAATTCGATATTTTTAATGCTCAATAAATAATGTTGATGTCTTTTTTTTGTAATGGCCCGCCAAATTCTTCCATTTTACAATTCATACTCTTCGTACTATGTATGTAACCATAGTGAAGTTTTCGATTGTGACCATTTGGGATTTATCATTGAGTTACCAATATAGCCTCAAATTTTCCAAAAGTAAAAGTTTGATTGCTGATTTTTTCTTTAATAGCTAAATTCAGTATTTGATAATTTATTAATTTGTAGTGACATTTTTTTTGGTAGTCTCAAACAATCAGCAAATCGAAATTTGGACAAACCGAGTACCTATTCTGACTGGTGTGGAGAATCACGAAAAATTTATGAAATTTAATCTTGCTCTAGATGAAATGTTTATTACTCAGGTGAAAAAAAAACAGTAGTAGTTTAATAACCGCGTTTAAAGATTGTATCAGTCAGCCCGGTATTAACAATCAGGATTTAGCACAGCGTCTCTTGTCTATGTGTAGGTCATATCTTCCGGAGCAGTGATTAGGCGTGTTTGTTTATCCTGAGGTGTGATTACCTTGGATCCGAAGCGGTGATCATCTCGGACTGTTTGAATAAATCTTAATAATATAAATAATATACAAAAAATGTTGTTTGTGAACTGCGTAATCTTAGAAAAATTTCCCATTAAGGAATTAGCGATTCTGGTTCCAATGTGAAATTAGTTAGCCAAAAATTTATATTTATTAATAAACTGGGTCTCACGTAAACACGTACTATAATGAAAGCAATAACGCTGTACGGGTTATTCAGAAAAAAATAAATAAATTGACAAATTTATTATGCATTACAAATCATATTATACTTTGTTAGAAAATTTAATTATTCTTCTACTATCAGTATATCCTGGTTCAGTCTAAAGTTTATATGACCTCTAAAAATTTACTATCTATAAATAAACCTAAGTGCATTGACTATAAAGAGCAATTGACATTATTAATAATAAATTTACAGTATAAAGAATAAATTATGGGTCACTTTTTTGTTTTACGATAAATAATTTTCTACTTAAAATTTCTCACACATACTCTGTTCGGAAATCGGTGCGCCACAAGAATCTCCAAATAATCCTACCCACCATTCATTATTCTTGGCAAGCAAGCTTAGAACAAACAAAAGAATTGCTACTATAAAACCAGAAATAAAAAAAAGAACACGTAACATCCCTTTACCCAAATCGAATAAGTTTTTTCCCTCATAACAGTGACATAAAAATCCCAACAAATTATTAAATGTCCATATAGAACATATCACTGTGATAAATTTGCTCCGACAAAAAAACCCGATTGGAGGTGAATAATATGCCAGAACTACTGTTATCCAAGGATAAATTATTGATGCAAGGGCAGTTAACGCAACGGTACAACGTTTATGATATCTATCATCATCATTTGGCTGATCCATTACTACCTTTTGCAACTTGAACTCCACATTAGGATCTTTAACTATCAGATTCCCTACAATTCCTCTCCTTAATATTGCTGGGATTGTCCAGGACAATAACAATGGTATAAATGGCCATTCATCACAGACGACCGATTCTGTCACCATAGATATTCCTGCCAATATACCGACTATTATGTAGTATGCTGGTAGCAATGAAGAAAGTCTCTCCAGTACTGAGGCTTTCGCTGTACAACGGTCTACATAAGTCATTAGAGTGCGTTTGTGTTTCTGATTTTTGCTCAGTGTTAGAGAACGGACTCCGAAAGGTCTATAATTTAATGAGTTTCCGGATACGTCTGTAAAAAAATCGGCTTGAAGCCAATATATACAGCGTGATTCCGGTTCACTTCCTATGTTGAGGTTAAAAATCAATCCAACAAACGGACACCCAAGGCAAATCAACATCCATGCTAGCTTTTTCGTAAAACTATTCATCGGTGATTCTCCTATAATTAGGAGAGCGGGTAAACAACCCGTTACATACTGAGGTATTGGATCTAATAATACATTTATTAACTGCGCAATACTCGATTTTTCTTGTTCCATTTATGCAATATACAAATAATAAATGATAGCGATGTTATAAGAAATTCACGATTTTCTTGATGTCAAAAGCTCTTAGAAATGATAGCTTATATAAATTTTTTACAAGGTTAAATCTCGATGTAATAACCAATTTACTGAATTTAAATCATCAATAGATGATCTGGCCTTTAATTCTATGATAAAAATGATTAGATGGTTTTCTTCTAAGAATAAACTACTCAAAATGGTAATATCATTTTGATTAAGACGATTTAATCATGCATAAATATGATCTGCTAATCTATAAATTTCTTTATTTAAATTACTTTTACATCCCCATTGTTGCGCATTGTACATTTAGTGAATGAGCATATGTTTTTTTCTATTATTAAGCGCCTAGTACATAAATAGAGCTGTCGTGAAATCGTAACAAAGAAATTCATTTTGACAAAATCAAATAAAGCAAAATAATAAAACAAGGTTCAATTTTGGTTACTTTGAAAGGATTTAGGCAAAGATCGATATCTTGCATTAATAGTAATAGATGCATTCTTTTTAATATTTTATTTTTCAGTTTTTCAGTTAAAACTAAAATTAGACAAATGTTATCTATTCTGAAGTAACGATCTTGAGTATAAAGTTTAATATAATAAATTTTGATTTTTAATAGTAAATGTAAAAATAAATGAAAGTATTATATATGAACAAATAAAAAGGATTTATAAAATATTTTATGAAAAATCGATCATTAATAATGTTTTTTCGTTGTATGAATTTTATTCGGTTAATATGTGAAAAATTAGAAGAGATCGGTAGGGGACATATCCGATGAATGCTAATGAATACAAGTGATAATACAAACCGAAGAAATCTTATTACTAGCACGCAATATATGTATCTACTAATCCCTCATAAAAAGGATCTATCTTACAATCTCTAGAAGGTATAGCAAGAGTAACGCGAATGAAACAGTTATGTTTATATTCACATTCATAAATGTTAAGAAAAATAGAAATGTGCCTAAATTATAAACCGGTATCATTAGTAACATATAAATTTCTAAACTTTTTTTAGTCATATGTACGACAGTTAGTTACGAAAAATAAATGAAGAGGCTTTATAAGAGACTTTTATAATAAAATAATGGAAATATTTTTTATGGTAAAACCCTTAAAATATAAATTTTTATTGTTTAAATAACTGCATAGAACTTATAAGTTATTAATTATTGATTTAATATAGGTAGGCAAACTGAATATTTTATGTTATTTATATAATAATAAGGTTATGTTAGTTTTTAAAATTAGTTATTTAGATAGTTTTTTGTAAAATCAAAAAATTTGATTTTGTATGAAAAAATAAAATTTATATTCCAATAAAATTTTTAATAAAAGTTCTTTCTTGCTAATAACCATTTTATTTTTAAGTGTAATTTAGCTAAATAATAAGTTTAAAAAGGTAGTTTATCTAATCTCATTCCCCACGTGTGCACTATCGGGGCTATACAGGTATGCTACATGTGAAACGTGCAATCTTAGCGTTAACGCCCTATAGTCAATGCATAAGACCCACTTATTTAAATTAATTAAAGGATTTTATATTATTTTATTTTATGTTCTCATAAAGTTCACAAGTTAAGATCTTTAAAACACTTGCGACGTATATTCTTTTTTTGTTGGATCTGCTTGGCCGAAATAGGAAAAAAATATGGTGAAAAATTATATTCTTATTTCTTAGAATAGGTAATCTAATAGATATAGATTCAGATTCCTATTCCTTTTCGATTACTATTTGGATTAGATATAAAATTATGTCGTCCCAGACAGTGTTTCGATCTGGATGAAAACTTGAATATTTTCGCTGAGTAAGATTATAAATCTCAGATTTAAACAGACTAATTTAGACTAATATTAATGTATCATTATCCCAAAAATTTATACTAATTTTGTATATCAATAAAATCCTATTTGTTATACAAGTAATAAAAAAAATTGAATTATCGTTTCCAATCTTAGTTTTAACAAATATGCAGAGCTCTATTTCGATTATTTAAACCTGTTGTAAATTGCAAAAAAATTTTTTCATGCAATTAATGGGTTTTTTACTTGTAAGTTATATGGGCCTGAACCGTTTTAAGAAAGAATTAAATTCCCCCCTTTTCATACTCCTTTTTTATTAAAAAAAAAACGTCTCTCTCTTCTGTAAATTATTAAAAAAAATTTTTTTTGTTTGTAAAGATGTAAAATTTATCATGTATTTTTTTTATCATAAGTGATGTAAGATGCTAATGTTTATGCACTGGATAATAATCCTGGCGCAGATACTTACGATAATTTAAAAAAGATTTTGTTAAATTTATAATATTTGCAATAGTAAGCTTTCTAACAATTTGTATTATGCCAACTCTTACATTTATTATTTGCAATATTTTGGTTTAGAAAAGACATTATGATTGAAAAAATTGGGTTTGAATTATTTATAGTCCTTACATCAATTTTTATTTTAATACTATTTATCTATTCTTATTTGGACGACTATATTTGAGTCCTTATTTTTATTTGATAGTCTCAGTTAGATTAAGTTTTTCTATAGCATATTCAAATAGTTTTTTTTTTTTACTAAACTAGCTTTAGCACTTACAGTATGTCTTATTTTTTGGCACGAGTTTTTGATAAAGAAGCTTTTATAGGTAGAACGATTAAAAACCTTGATGATAATATCAAAGTATTTCTCATCAAGAATAAGAAAATATTTATTTTAACATATCTTTTCTTATTCATTAAAGTTGATCCTAAATGGAGAATCAATATGAAAGGAGTGCTTAGGTTTTATATTGGTAAGTATAAAAACTTTTGCAGTGTATACAAAAAAAGATAATAATTTTTTTATTTTTTTTGTGCTTGGATGACATTTAGAGTGGGTGGAAAATGCACTTATGTCACATATAGTAGTACTGCTTCTCGAGTTGCCCATTATATGTAAGATTTTCTTTTTTTTGGTGCGATTATTTCAATAATGTTTTCTTAATCAAATATAGACGAAATATAAGCCATAAGGATATAAGGATGATATTGAATAGAAATTTTAATAGTCCTTTCTTTAATAGGAAGTTGAGTACTCCCTTGATGAAGTTTTTGAATCACAAAGAGGTATATACTGGTTCAAACCCTGAAACTTCTAATAAAATTTATTAGAGTTAGCAGTGATTAATTTTTTTTTTAATATGGTGCAACTTTTTTATAATATTTTGCCGATTTATATAATTTAATCAGCGGCAGAAACAGAAAATTTGATTTCCTTTATAGCGTTAGGTAATCTAAAAAGAATTATTTAAATAAAATTAGATAATAATTATAAAAAATGTTAAATCCACCAGTTTTGTTTTTAATTAAATAAAAGAAACAATAACTTTTTCTTTATCTGCCAATATAATTGTTTCTATTATTACGTATTAATATCTTATCAAATTTTATAAAACAATTTAAAAATCATTCATATAAGAATAAATAAACGAAAAAATCTATTTAATTGCTGGCAAATGAAACACCTAGAACAAAAAAGCTACCATTCCCTTAATAAATCTATTTTCTTGTATAATTAATTGCGGATCTCTGATAAACGACAAATCTCAATCAATTTTGGCTTATTCACATCCTTTAGAAGTTCCCTAAGCTCGTCAGATTCATTTTTGATCACACTCAGAATCCACCCATCAATTATACATATCCGTTATTCTAAAATAATAATTATAATAAAAAAATATCTAATAAAAGACCACGTATTACGTGTATTACGTGAATTTGATTACAATGGTAATACAGCATATACAAATAAATAAAATGTAAAAAAAAAATTTTATTTTTTTTATTTCTCTTTTTTTTTGAATAAAATTATTAGAAATGGAGGATGATAAATCAAATAAGAAAAAAGCTAAACATTTAGATGATATGGCTTCAATTGCAAGCCAATGGATACAAAGTGCAAGTCCCTTATTAGGAATAGCAAAATTTGTTCCCTTCATTAATGAATTTGGAGCTATTTTTGACGAAATCATCGATATAGTAGAAGCTGCTGAACATAATAAACGAACTTGTGGAGTATTATTAAAACGAGTTCATGTTGCAAATTCAGTCGTACGACAATTTAGAGAAAAAAAAGACGACCCTGTTTTTTTTAATAATGAAAATTATTTATCTTTACAAAGATTAACTGTTATTATAGGACAAATTAAAATATTTGTATCAGAAATTTCTCAATTGAAAACTTTGAAAAAATATATTGGAGCGAAAAATATTGAGAAAACTTTTGCAGATTTATGTAAAGAATTTGATAGTTCTTTTAACTTTTTGCTTGTTTCTATTGATCTTAAACGATCAAAATCTATTGAAGACAAGCTTGAAGAATTTAAAGCCGATCAAGATTACTTTGCTGAAGTAAGATTAAAAAATTGGATTCTATTATACATTTGATTGAGTATAGAAATTAATTATAAACTACTATTGCTTTTAATAATTATAGCTTCTACGTGAAATGGTAAAAGATGTTAGAGATAGGATACAAAGTTCAAGTACCGTGTTGGGCGATATAGCTCCGGTACTTGTTCCATTTACAAAATTTGTTCCCTTAATTAAAGAAATTGGAGCTATTGTTGATGAAATCTTCGATGTAGTAGAAGCTGCTGAACATAATAAACGAACTTGTATAGTATTATTAGAACGAGTTCGTGTTGCAGATTCAGCCATACGACAATTTAGAGGAAAAAAAGACGACCCTGTTTTTTTTAATAATGAAAATTATTTATTTTTACAAGAATTATCTTATATTATAACACAAATTAAAAAATTTGTATCAGAAATTTCTCAATTGAAAACTTTGAAAAAATATATTGAAGCGAAAAATATTGAGAAAACTTTTGCAGATTTATGTAAAGAATTTGATAGTTCTTTTAACTTTTTGCTTGTTTCTATTGATCTTAAACGATCAAAATCCATTGAAGACAAGCTTGAAGAATTTAAAGCCGATCAAGATTACTTTGCTGAAGTAAGATTAAAAAATTGGATTCTATTATACATTTGATTGAGTATAGAAATTAATTATAAACTACTATTGCTTTTAATAATTATAGCTTCTACGTGAAATGGTAAAAGATGTTAGAGATAGGATACAAAGTTCAAGTACCGTGTTGGGCGATATAGCTCCGGTACTTGTTCCATTTACAAAATTTGTTCCCTTAATTAAAGAAATTGGAGCTATTGTTGATGAAATCTTCGATGTAGTAGAAGCTGCTGAACATAATAAACGAACTTGTATAGTATTATTAGAACGAGTTCGTGTTGCAGATTCAGCCATACGACAATTTAGAGGAAAAAAAGACGACCCTGTTTTTTTTAATAATGAAAATTATTTATTTTTACAAGAATTATCTTATATTATAACACAAATTAAAAAATTTGTATCAGAAATTTCTCAATTGAAAACTTTGACAAATTATATTGAAGCGAAAAATATTGAGAAAACTTTTGCAGATTTATGTAAAGAATTTGATAGTTCTTTTAACTTTTTGCTTGTTTCTATTGATCTTAAACGATCAAAATCCATTGAAGACAAGCTTGAAGAATTAAAAGCTAATCAATATGAATTAATGAAAATTGCATTGGAAAATTTGATGGCCGATTCTTCTCAAAATCAAAAAAAAATTGAGAATATCTTTCAGGTACGAAAACTTCTTTTATTAGTTATTCTAGTTCTATTGGTTCTGTAAGATCATGTTGAAAGATTTCATTAATTCTCTTTCTTTAAAAGGATTACTTACTTACTATATATTTATTTAAAAACCAGAAATAGATCAAAAAGAAATTGGAGAAAGAAGATATTAGTTACTTTGAATATAATGAATTTAGCAAACCTATTCCAATTAGTAAAGGAGGATTTGGCATTGTGTATAAAGCAGAAACTAATGATAAAAAGCCAGTTGCATTGAAAAGTCTCATAGGTTCAGTAATCGATAAAAATATTATTAAAAACTTTGTAAAAGAGGTAAGAATTGTATTTAAATCCATCATAATAATGTATAAGTAGCTTGTAATAAAAAATGATTCTTCTAATTAAAACTTCTTCGTATGGTTAGCTATCATGACAATATTAATAGATTTCTTGGAATAACAAAAGGTTTGTGTTAATAGTCTAATTTATGAATTCATTCTTATAAATTTAATTTAATTATATTTTAAATTAAATGGGCAGATAATACTGGTTATGTTATGGTATTGGAATACGCTAATGAAGGAAATTTAAAAGAATATTTAGAAAAAAAATTTGATTCATTACAATGGGAGAATAAGATTCAAATGGCATTAGATATTACATGTGGATTATTATGTTTACACTTGAGGAACATAATTCATAGAGATTTGGTAAATCAATAATTTATAATTTATTTATTTTTATTACATTTTTCATAAATATAATTTTTAGTAACGTTTACAATTATACTTTAGCATTCAAAAAATATATTAGTGAATGACGGTAAATTATTAATTGCAGACTTTGGATTATCTAAACAATTAACGGAAGTTACATCTAATTCAACAAGTAACAGGATGGGAATTATTGAATATGTTGAACCACAATGTATAAAGTGTGTAAATTATGTAAAAGATAAAAGGTCTGATGTTTATAGCTTAGGTGTTTTATTATGGGAGATTACTAGTGATCGACCTCCTTTTTGTACGGTAGAACGAGATATGTTAGGTTATCACATTAGTCATGAGAATCTTAGAGAAGAACCAATTGAAAGTACACCCTTAGAGTATCAACAACTTTATCAAAAATGTTGGGATGGAGACCCAGAGAAAAGACCCAAAATCAATCAAATATATAAAGAAATTTTAAGTCAATCCAATGTCAATGATATTAGCGAACAATCCGAAGATTCATTAGTAAATAATGATAGTTTTGATAATTTAAACATACAATCATGCCAATCAGATCTATGCATAAAAACTGAATTGGTATTATAAATAACTATATAATTGAGATGAGATTTAATCAAAAGATATTGTTTTCGCTTTATCAAAAGATATATATCTTTTGTATTTTTCCAATATTTATTAACATCAATCAAATGATTCAAGGCTTATTCTAATAAAAATTAGTGGCTCTTTTTAATGTTTGACAATTCACTATTTCGAAGAATTTCTTTCATAGTTATGGAAGCTAAATTTTTATATCATTGTTTTCACTTTCAAAAGAATCAATTACTTTACTGTACAGTTCGACTGTTATATTACCAATTATAATCTGTTATGAACACTTTGATTAATATTATAGATGCATCTTACCTGAACTATACATGCCATCCAAATTATTTTGGACTGCCGTAATTATAAGTAAAATCCCAAATTCAATTATGGCATCCCAAATTATTTTGGCACTTTACATAGTAAATTATATATAAACCGAATGAATTATGACATCCCAAATTATAATTATGGCATTCCAAAATAATTTGGGCAGCATGTATAACTTGAACTGATTGTGATAAAATGATTTGTAATATTGTGCCATCAGAATTATTTTTACGGTTACAGCATGTGCTGTAATGTTAAATCATAAATACTGATCATTCCTAGCGTTGTAATGTCATTAGTTATAAAATGAACCAAAATGTAAATTTTTTACAATTTTGCTTGTGAAAATAAATGTGTAATGTATTCTTTACTTTTTGACTTTAAAAAGAAAGTTGGGTATGTAAAAAACACGAGATGCGTATTATCTCCAGATTTTATATATATCATTTTTATTTTTTATTTTTTATTAGCGATTAAATTTGTAAAGCACAATACAAATATACAAAATTTTATAGTAATAGCTGCAGGTACCTGATTCTAAACTATCGAATACTAACCAACTAGTTTCTATATTAGTTATAACCTGGATTTGAGACCTACTATAGTAATATACACTTAAGACGTTTTATCAACCTCGTTCTAAAAACCTGACTCTTAGGATAAAATTAATTTTTTATTTCATCTCCTTAGAACCACTGAACACTGTTCAACTGCTATCCTCCCTAAAAATAAAAATAGAATAGAAAGTGTAGTTCTAAAACTATAAACCCTGTACATTCATTCCAAGATAAATATTCAACCATAAACTTTTTAAATCACTATAAAGGTTAAAAACATTAATTTTCCTATTAGGATTTATATATTCATTTTTGTTATAATTTTCTTTAACTTTTTTAAGATTACTAATTTTTAATCTTTTCTCTTTTTCTTTTTGTTTTGAACATCTATCAATGCAAAAGCCCCAACTTTTTTCAAAAATAAATTTTGTAGTAAAACTAAAAATTTTTCTTGTATATTTCAATTTTCAAATATCAATGAAGTATATGCCAACAATTCACAAGGAACTATACCTTTAATTAAATCAATGAAAGTGAACTTTGATTTACTATAATCATGATCCCAAAAAGTCATTTTATCAATAAGCTCATCATCAATAATAGCCATTTTGATTTAGATTTAAAAACTTTTCCCAATTTTGTAATATTAAAAATTGATGTAAATTACACTCTACAGTATTATTATTCCATCATGAAATATAAACTAAATTATTTAAATTATTATTTTTAAAAATTAAATTTGAAGTTTTATCAGTATAAGTAATAAACTCATTAACATAATTATTAAAGTAATCATTACTATGTCCCTTAACTTTAACAAAATCTAAAGTAAAAGTATTTGTAACAATAATTTCTCAAAGAATATTCTAATAAATATTAGATGTTCTAATTTTAAAGAATTTTCTTGGCAAAATATTAAAATTATTTCTATCTATAATATCGTAATATCCTGTAATATTAAACATTATTCAAGTCAGTATAAATAGTGATCTCACTATTAGATGGTAAAACAATTAACGCTGAAATGACTGCTAACAACTCTACTTTATTTGATGATGAAAAGTAAGAAATTTCTGAACGAAAACTATGTAAAATCACATTATCTTTAACAATATATAATAAATCTAAAAGACATTATACATTGTTGTTTTCTAAAATCATAAACTGAACCATCAGTATAAATCTTGAATTTTTTAATTGAATTTTCAAGTAAATGAATTTTTATTAGTTGATTTTGATTGGATGAAAAATCCAACAATTTTATAATTAGATTATTATTTATTTTATATGATTGATCAATTGATATTATAAGTTGACTAATTATTGTTTTGTACTTTTTCCAGTTATTTCTAACAAAAAGTCATTGTAACTAAAATCTTTAACATCCAATAAATTTATTTGTGTACACTTTTAAATTACTATTGTTAAATGTCAATTAATTATATGAATTATGAGATTGACTTCCAATAATTAAACAATCATCGGTGTTAACTAAAATATTACAATTGTATTGTTAGAGCCTTAGAGGTCAGTTCTTATAAGCTTAAAAATAAGCTATACATTAAAAAATGTTTATATTTAATAAAGCAGAAGGTAATTTTAAGGATCAACGTATATGTTAAAATCAATCCAATCAGATGTGAATAGAGTATCGCTTCATACTGGCGCATACAATCAAACATAAATAAGGGAAGGCAGATTAACCATATAAAACCAAACTTAAAATTAAGGTGTATATTAAAGGGTAAACATTTTATTAATTAAATTCTTCACATACATTCTTATATTGAATTCTTTAATTACAGGTCTAATTACAGGTCTATATACACAGTGAAATTCGATAAACCGGATCTTCGATAAACCGGATTTGCGCCTAAACTAGACTTTTTTGCTGGAACCAAATCACGTATATTAAAATAGGTTCGATATACCGGAGTTTACTAGTAAAAGCTCGATATTCGCTATAACGGATCAATTTTCTAACCAGCTATAGTAAAAATGATTCGATAAACCGGATAACGTGACTGGGAACCAATAAAATTTAAGTGACGTGATGCGGTAAATCCTAAATTTGGCCAGAATTATAAAAATCTTAATTCCGGCTGAAGTTATGTATTACTTTTAAAATATTTTATATTCATTTTCATGACCTCTATGACTTAAAACTAGATGAAAAAATCAAATTATAGTGTATATTAGTTTTATTAGCATGAAAATTTTTTAAAAATTCAATATAATAGATTTTCAATATATCAAAATTTTTTCGCTAAACCAGATATCCCGATAAACCGGATATTTTTAGTGGAACCGATAGATCCGGTTTATCGAATTTCACTGTGTATACATAAATTTCCAAACTAAAAATGTTTAACATATGTTACATATGCTATATATCCTATATATGCTATATGTTCTATATATTCCATATATACTACATATTCTATATATTCTATATATCGGACATATGCAACATATCGAACATATCAAACATATTCAACATTTGCTACATTGATCAGCATCACAGGTCCAGTTATATCACATGATTGCTGCGCAACATTTTACTGCGTAACAGTATGTCAGTATCCATCTTTACCATATGATTTTTCAAAATTATCTAAATCACATCCAGAATATTTTCTTAAATGAATATTTGATGCTTTAATATTAACATTATAAATTACATTTAAATGACCTAATAACAAATTTTATTGATCATCAATGCCAGATTTTTTAACTAAAACCCCTATTTCAACATCATTTCTCTTATTATTTTAAATTCCAATAAATGTTAATATTTTAGAAATATTATTGTTATTTATTTCACAATAAGTCATATTATATCCTTTAAAATAAGGAACTGTCAACATTCTATATTCTGGTTTAAAGATTTTGCTATCAACAGTAACAATTTTTTGTATTTCTTTATACCAATTTTTTAGTTTACAATAATTATGATTATCTTCCTTAAAGTTTAAAGTATACCAATTAATTAGATATTCCAATTAATTGATCTAAAGACATAATTCCATCTTTTTTGAATCTATAAATATTCTTAAAAAATTTTTCAGCTCCTATTATTTTTCTTACTGGTACATTATCACCAGTTATTTTATAATGTTCTATATTTATCGTACTATTTATCAAAATTTTTATGTTAATATTTTTTAATATCTTAATATTTTCTAAAATCCAATTAGAATAATTTCTTTTATAAAATAATAATCATTCTTAAACAAAAAATCTGATACTATATTATCTTCTATTCAAAATCTCTGTTGCAATTATTTAATTTTAAGCATTGTAATTTTCCTAATAATCCTTTATCATTTAATAACTGTATTAAGAAATTTGTGCCTTTTGCCTGTAATTGATTATTTGCTACATTCTTTATATTATATATCAAATTATGATTAATTATAGCTATTAGTGCGTGTATATTAAGATAATTTTAATTTTTTTTTAAATGCATATCTGAATGATAACGTAATCCTATTACATTTTTGTTCACTAAAAATTGTTATTTAAACACGGTATTCAATTGTAGAGATGACAAAAGTATTAAACACATACTGTAATTATTTGTCTGTAATCCTTTTATTTAACCAATTTTTTAATTTTGATTTAGCTTGTTGAAAACTGAATTTTTTAATATCATTGAAGTTAAACCAAACCCCAATATTCTAATAGATTCACTAGAACATTTAGATTTAATATTAATATATTCAGATTTAAATAATTATTTGAATAATTATATGATTTATTTAATTTTTTCAATAATAATTCAGATTTATCTTTGTTAATTTTAATATCATTCAAATTATAAAATTTGTTTGCAATTTTTAGTATTGTTTTAAGTTAAATTTGATCTTTTGCCAATAATATAATATCATGACTATCATCTATGTATACTTTTTCTGAGAATATAATTGATTCTTTAATATAATTAAAATAAATATTTTTTTTATATTTTGCAGTAATTTCATAACCATGATTTTTCTGTTATAATTGACAAAGTAACAGATCATAATATATACATCAGAGAAGCAGTGAAATAATCTCTTTCTGGTCAATTCCTGTTAATATATTATAAGGATTAGTTTTACCAACTGCTGTAAAAATTTGATTTTTTCATTCTAAAAATAAGTTACAGATAATTAAAATAAAATTATTTAACAACTACTACTATTTGTTTAATATAAATAGAATAAGTACAAATAATGGTATTACTACGATTCATAATAATAAATATTTTAATAGAATTAAATTAAAAAAAAAATGCAACAAATCTAATGATAAATGAAATAATTAAATTCAGATTTTACAGCATTCTACATAAAAAATATAGACAAATTGTATAAATAAAAAATGCATTTAGATCTAAAATTAAAAGTAAATTTACTGATAAATATGATACAAAATTTAACTGAATTTAAGTTAAAATATTATTAAAGATGTTTAAGAACATGATTATCAAATAATTGAAAAGAATTAATTGGAATATTGATAAAAGAAAAAAAATACAAACTGTAAAAATAGTTTATTTTGATGAATATTATTGTCTTTACAGAAACTTCAAATTTTCAAACAATATTATTTTAATATTAAAAATAAAATATTATTATTTTAATATCAAAATGATATTGAAATAGTATCAAAATGATATTAAAATGATAATTGAAATAACATCGAAACAATATATTTAAGTTTAACTTAAAAATGTCATTTCAATGTTATTTCAGATATCATTTCGATATTAATTTAATATTGATTCAATATTAATATAATATCAAAATGATAATACTTTATTTTGATATTACATTAATATTAAATTAATATTGAATCAATATCAAAATAATGTCAAAATAATACCGTTAAGATAAACTTAACGATATCAATTCTATATTGATTAAAGATGTTAAGTTTCTGTAAAGTAATATTCTTTAACAACCTAATTTTATTTGAAATAGTCTATTGGAAAATTTGATGTTATTTATTTTTCTATTTATTTCTATTGACAAAAAAAAAAGAAAATATATATATAAATAAAAAATATATATATATATATACTATTTAGACAAAAGTAATGAAATTCATACTTTATTAATTACTCAAAATATATATATTAATAATACTTGAAATTTTAATATATAATAATATAGATAATACAGAATACAGTCAGAACTCGATATAACGATTCGTGATAAACCGATTTTAGCCTATAACGAACTTTTTTCTCAAACCAAAACTGTCTATATTAAATTTTATCACTATATACCGATTTTATTATAAATTTCACGATATTATATATAACGAAGTCTGATCATAAACCAGTCATATGTATTTATTCGCGATAAGCCGATTACCACCTAACTCCGGTCAGAATTAACTTATTCCCGGCTGGCACTATGCAGCGCAGCAGATCACCTGACATTTATGCCTTAATTTTGGAATTTAATAATTACTGTAAGAATATGATATTAATAATAAACAAATTAGCACAGCATGTAATACAATTAAAATCATTTTTTTTATTAATAAAAATTCGGTATACCGAATTTTTATATTTTTTACTATATAATCGGTATATTAAGAATATTTGATTTATCG